TATATATATATAATGACATACATACACACACACACACACACACACACACAAACACACACACACACACATGGATGCACACACGCGCGCATGTGACGCAGACAGCTACATAAATGCTGTTATCTTAGCCACCCAAAATCGTCAGGATCTACCGCTAAAAAAATAGATAACCATTTTTGCCACAACGAGCACTAAATCACTGGTTCTCTGGTGGTTCACCACAACTAAACATTGCAGTGTATAATATTCTTTAGAAAATATGCTGAATTCAAGCTTTATCCACTAAGAAATAAAGTCAAACCTCGTTGTGCCGTCCCCTCCCCCCCCCCCCCTTTCCTGTTGTATCGCCAGCCCCGCTTACCAATATTCGAAAAGGGCCTTTTATATAAACATAGTATCTGCGCCTGTCCACCGCCATCCGCTAACTGTCTCAGTTGTATGTCCTTATTAAACTATTGTAAATGTTCCCCCTTGTACACCCAACGAACTGCCCGCCAGAAGTACACGGTACACACAAGGCTGTACACGACGCAGGGCACATCCACTCGGTTGTTGCTTGACACACAAGTCTACGAGCTGGGCCTAGTTTATGTTAAACGCTTTTCGCCCATTTGCTCCCTCCCATCCCATCCCATCCCATTTCACCACCCTTGTCTTGTAGATTTCAGGCAATATGGATAGTACATAAATAGATCTACTGTGAAGTAGTGTGTCGCAAGCGAATATAATACCATGTGTAAAGTAAAAGAGTACAATTAAAATAAAACATAACTTGGTAATTTAGCATCAAGTTTCACTCCCTGCGTGACTCCGACTAAATTTGATGCGCTGATTATGAATGCTATTCAGTTTAGGCCTTGGTCAATATAACATTTCGAAAATGGAAATACATTTTTTAAACCGCCAGGAGAAACTTTAAAGGAAACTCGCCACCTCCGCCCATCGTCAAAATATCTGGCGTCGCCTGATATCAACCCAATGACTTACAGGCTGGCGAATGCCCAAATGGGGCTTTTATTTTTTAGAAGACTCACTCTCTAGTGTAAGACACAGATCGATGGGAGGTAACTCATTAGTTCACCCTGTGATTGGTAAACAAGTTCCCTTGGCGTTGGACAGTCGGCGCTACCAGTAAACGTGAAAATCTCGTTGTACCGCCAGCCCCGCTGTACCGCCAACTCCTTGCTCGTCCCACGGTAGGCAGTATAACGGGGTTGGACTGTACTTCCAGAGAAGGTTTTGGAGAGAAAAACATTGTGAAACTTTGTTTTTAAGAGAAAAGAGATACTTGTTGACAGTATGTTTACTTTAGCGATGAGGCTCACTTCTATGTGTTTAGAGACGTTACTAGTGTTGGGAATTGTGTGCGGTAGGAAAATAAAAAAGACCAAGTACAATTTAGTAATAATGAGATAAGCTCAGACATCGAGACTTGGAACTTGTAAGAGCTATAGTCTGGACAACACCAAATGGACAACTTGTCGACCTCATTACACAGGAACTCAGTGGCGAGTTGTCCTGATTTTTTTGCATGTGCCTCTGAATTCCAAAAAACCCTAAACTATTTTCGTGCGTATGCGACCAATATAAAGAGGTGTTTTCTATATAATCATTAGTATTTAGTTACAGTTTGCGCAGGGATTTTTTTAGACCAAGAACGGTAGTTTATGTGTTAGTTTTGTTTGTTTGTTTAAATTTATTTTATTTATTTTTAAACTGACTGCATGCGCCGCAAGACTGAGTTGTTTTCAGTTCAGTGGTTAGTGGGTGACAGTGGGTTTATTTTTATTGACTCATTGTGAGTAAAATGTACATCATATCTTCCG